GGGGGCTCAAGTTGGAGGCTTTGGGAAGTGGAGTCCAACTTCGGAGGGTCCTTTCATTATCAACCAAGTACTAGACAAAGGGGGATATTATTTGGCAAATTTGGAATGAAGTTCGCAGAAGCATCCAATTAATGCTAATTTTTAAAGAAGTATCACCCAACCTTATGGGATGTTAGGGATTACTACTTTAAAGAAGTGTAAACATTGCGAGATGTTCAAAGTCGACTTGTTTACCCTTCACCGTTGAGTTCAAGAGAAATGCAAGCCAAAATGGATTAAAGAAATCAGTTTCATTTTATTAAATGTTGAAGTTACATCAAAAATCAGTTCAATAGTTCTACATCCTTGACGAGGGTAGCTATCCTAGAATGTTACTATTAGTTAACTATGCTTCAACATCTTTAAATTTCAACATTTGCTCTTTTAACCTTTTCAAACTTCTGATGAAGCTAATTGGCGGAAGATCATGCTAAATGGTTACTGATGGCCACTGCCACTTTCATGTATGATCCCAACGTTTGAATCAATAAGGAGCCTGCAGTCACAAGTCATACGAAAGTCTTTAACATTGTCGTGGTAGTTGATCCCGAAGCATACACCTATGATGATGAATAGATTAAGGGAGCATAAGCTATGGGGAAGTCTGGGCTTGTGGATATCAGTATAAGAAAGGTTAGCTTTGTATCCACATGTCAGATCTATCAGTGATATTAAAGCTGCTCGACTCCCCCACAATGCCATAAAATTCCTGAAACTGAAGTTGGATGCAGTGCATTTTTTCTGAGGATGATGAAGAAACCAATAACTGAGAAGTCCATGCAAATCCCAATGAGTGCACTCCTCCTTCCTTAAGGAAGAGTCCAGTGTGCAGGCCTGCCCGAGGGCGATGAAGGCCGTTAAAAAGATAACGCATGGTGGAAATCCCCTTACCAGTCTCGTAGGGAGATTGAATCCAGGTAACTGTAAGTACCATTGGATAATCTTGAGGAGAAGATAGGAAGAAATTCGGAGCTAAGAAGGAAGAGTTGAAGAACAAAAGGGATTTCCAAAAATTTTGAACTTTAGGAATTTTAAAGAGTTTTGGAAATTCAAAGGGCTCGAATTGGTTAAAGGTGCTTTGCTAAAGAGATTAAGTGGGGATTATATAGAGGAGCAAGTAATTAATGGTGAAGTTCATGGGTTAGTGCAAAGGTCGCAATAACCAATGGTTGCTTTAAAACGACACAAGTTCCAAGTACAAGCGTGTGACGTTGCCTAATGTGCAACGGCTATTTAATCATTATTAGCGCTTGGGATTGCAACATCAACTATGATTAAAGGGGGCACTGTTGGGTTAATAATTGAACTTTAGGCTGCAAGTGTGTGAGAACCCAAAGCCACCAATTAAAGAAAGGTTTGCCTAAAGCCCAGCATTAGGCCCAAAGACAAATTGGCGCCTTCTCATTAATGCATAGGCCATGTGCCTATGATATAAATGTCAAGTGATGGGGACTAGCCCACAATTAGCCAAAAAGTACTTTTCAGTGACAATACAAGTAAAAAGCTGATGACTCACTACCCTTCAATTGCTTTCGGACAAGAGCAAAGCTACAACAGTCGGGCTAATCTGCCTATAAAATGAGAAGGAGGCCCCGAAGACAAGGACACTCAACCAATCAAACAAACAAACATACAAGCTCTTCTCTCAAGCCATATTTGCATGCGAAAGCTGCAATTAGCCTAGATCTCAAACATTTTCAGGATCATTCCCCCACAAAAGCCATTTTTTGTCTAGTTTAGAAGCTTTGCTATCACCCTTAGTGGAGTAGTATCGATTCCCTCATGTAAACTTGTTTACCATCCATCATTTCTTAGCATATAAACCCTGTAAACTCAAAAGAGAAGTGATTGCAAGAAGTTTAACCTTGCCCGATAAGGTGAAATCTTGCTCAAAGCTCTTTGTTTGTTTTGTAAGTTAATAGATCTAATGCTTAATGTATTCTCTAGCATGTATTCAAGTCATATACATCTGTTTTTCTACTTTAAGAGTCTCATTTGTGCCTAGATCTAGTCACCTTAATGAACATGCCTTTATTTAAAACCAATCAAGAACTGAGTAGATGACTTAAGGGGATATGGACTCCCCTCCCTCGAACATACAAGACTATGAACTGAAAGTCCTTGGTCACAAGGCAAGAAAAATAACTTAATGTTGACTTAACTCATCCAAGACAATCCTTTGATAACAAGAAGTCCGAGTAACTTGGGGCGCAAACACGCCTAGCACTTGGTTAGTTTTGATTGTGAGCCTCAAAGCCTACACCTAAGGCTCTACAAAGGCACATTTCAAAACTAACTTTATCTTCTTCTTGCAGTACATCAGCAAGTAAGACCAAAGTGCCAATTCCTTGGGGAGTGCTGAGAGCCGAGGAGCCCTCTCCTGAGAAATCTTGGCTCGAATAGGTACTGTAAACTATAATTTGATGAATAACATTAAAGAAACACCTAAATCACACCAAGCGTGCATGTATACAATTTAATAAAACAAGTAGTGGATGAGTCTCATAAATGACTAATGATGAACATTTGCTGAGAATTTTTGTAAATGAAGCAATAGTATTCATGTTTGTGAAATTAATGAGATCAGACTTGTATGCTCGTCCATTTCAACAAATTTTATACATAACTGGAAATGGCATTTGCTTTTGTGGGAAATAGTTCATCTACCTAAGTTTCCTTGGATATGCAAGGATGAGCTAGCTTGATAATTTTATAGGTTGCAACTTCACCAATAATTAGAAGGATCAGCTGACTATCAAAGATCAGTTTACCAATTAATTTAATTATATTGTGTATTCTTTCTTTAGAGCTAACGCTCACAAATATCTGAGCTTGGGAATAAGTTAGTAATATATGAATACATGATTGGGAGTATTTTTGCTTATCACCATAACTATAATGTATGGTCACCATACACCTTATTATCTGTCACATGTTATTTCATTTAACTCTTGTTAATTTTTTTTCGAATTTAGAAAAGAAACATTTAATATGAAAGTTAAATAAAGTTAAATAAAATGACACATTGCAGATGATGAAGTGTATGGTGAGCATACACCATATATAATTTATAGTGGTGAGAAAAATGCTCCCAAACACAATTAGTACAATTAGGGGGCGTTTGTTTGCCGTCACTAACCGGGATTGGACTAGATTGGACTAGGTGTTAGTGTAGTCCCATGTTTGTTAGAGGAAGGGACTATCTTTAGTGGGATTAAACCTCACTCGCCTCAACTACGGGGCTCGCTAGATGGTCTTAGCGAGACCCCCCCTTAATACCATTGGATTGCTAAGACCCTTCTTTTCTTTTGCATTGTCCTGCTCGACTCCTTGCTTTGCTCGACTCCTCACTCTGCTCGACAACCTCACCAGACAATCCCAGGACCACAGCTGCGTCCTCGTAAATCACGGCTTCCTCTGCCACTTTCTATTCTTAGTTACTCCGTGTGTTGTCTCTTCCTGCTTTGCCGCTCTCATTTACTTCATCCTCACTTCCACAACCACCTTCGAAACCAGATCGCATAGTTGTTCCCACTGCCTCACACATCAACAAACCCAAAACATCCAACCCCCAAAATTCGAAACAAAAAACAGAAAAAAATTTACAAAATTGTTATGCCTCTAAAACCCAGTCGCTCTATCAGCCGCACATTAGTCGTTCCAGCACCTCCAATATCTAAATCGTGCCATGGGCTCTATTGATTGTATGATTGTTGGTTTTTCTTGGCTGTGAAAGGATAAACTTTTGTTGATGGCGACTGGGATGAGCACCAATACTTTCTATACTAAGAGGGAGAAAGAAAGAAGATGAAGATGAAATGAGAGGGTGAGAGAAAGTGTTTCTAAAAGTTGTTGTGAGAGAGAGGAAAGGGGTTTAAGGAAGGGTATCAGTTAGGGGTTTAAGGAAGGGTATCAGTTATCTTCCAGAAGGCAATGGTAGAAGCATGACTAAAAAATAGGTAATGGCAGAAGATATTTTTATAATATAATAGTTATTTTGTTATTTTTATAATTTGAAAGTGAATTAAAAATTAAAAAAAAATATTGTGGGTCTTAAAATTATTTTTAGTTTGTAGTTTAGTCCGAAACTGCACCAAACATTTCACTGTTTTATCCTGTTTAGTCCAAGCTAAGCCAGTCCAGCTTAGTTCCTAAAACTAGTCTAGTTCGAAATAATTCGGTGCAACAAACGTACCCTTAAAGTTTCGCGGCTACTTGCCAATTACAATGGGACGTAGATTCTCTGCCCTCCCACTTCCAGTGCCCTCATGTGCCCTCCTATTTTGTGTGGTCATGGTTAAGCCACGTCAACATTTTATATTATTTTTTTATAGAGCTAATAAGACAAAAAGAAATAGTAATATAAAATGTTAACGTGGCTTAACCGTGACCACACAAACAGGAGGGCACGGGAAGTGGGAGGGCAGAGAATCTACCTCCTTCAGGTTGGACAAGGATTGTCTGCCCCCACTTCCGGTGCCATCCTGTTTTGTGTGGTCACGGTTAAGCACGTCAACGTCAACATTTTATATTATTTTTTTATAGAGATAATAAGACAAAATGAATAGTAATAAATATAAAGTGTATGGTCTTATTAACCATAACCAAAATACTAGGGGCACCGAAATTTGTCCCAAATTTTGTCCCTACAAATACTGGGGCTTCCAGTCGGATTTTCAGTCTTTCGTTAACAAATTTGATGGCCTTTTATTCACACAAAAATTTTAATCGTTGCTCTCTCTCTCTCTCTCTCTCTCCCAGACTCAAACCCCAATACTTCATCATCACTTTTTTTCTCAGGTCCGTCACCTCTCTTTAATTTTGTTCTTCATTTTATTTTTCAGTTTCTCTCTTTTTCCATGAACTTTATGAGAGATTTTATTTTCTTTAATCTCATGCTCTTTAACTTGATATGATTTGTGCTAGCTTGTTAGGTCTGACTGATGAATCAAAGCCTACGCATGGAGAAAAAGGGTTTGGTGAGCAACAGCTTGAAAGATCATGCTGGTATTGTCACAAGAGCCATTAGGCGCAGCAAGACTACCTATGAAGAAGACGATTACAATTTTGATGGGTTTGCATGGCCTCCAAGATCTTACACGTGTAGCTTCTGCAAAAGGGAATTTAGATCTGCTCAAGCTCTTGGCGGCCACATGAATGTTCACCGAAAAGACCGAGCCAGGCTCAAAGGCTCACCCCCAAGAGACAGTCAATACACGAGTACTATTCTTAACCTTAACCTCAACAAAGTGCCAAACCCTAACCCTAATTTCTCATCAACATCATCAGCATCCTCACCATCCTCACCATCCTCCTGGATATCACCAATTAGTAGCACATTACCCTCTTTGATATCACCACCAGCTCCTCCACCTGTTTTTTTGGTGCCGTCTAGCGAAAATATGAAATGGGTTGTGGGAGACACCCTCTTTAATCACCCTCTAAACTTCAAAGCCTCGGATTTTGGTACTACAGTAAAGAAGAACGCAGAATCTTTTTGTGGAGTAGGAGATCGTCAATGTGATGGTTTCATTGGAGAAGAACATGGGTGCATAAAGACTGTCAAGGCAGCTGATCATCCTCATCATCCGATTGTTAGGTTGGACTTGGAGATCGGTATGCTTGGTGACTCAAATAAGGAAGACTTAGATTTGGAACTTCGATTGGGATACTCTTAGCTTTGATTTGGACCATGCTGAAAAGGCACAAAAATTAGATTTGGAACTTTATTTTTATATTTAGCATGTAATTTTCCATTTTATAGTTTATATTAATTAGTAAATCATATTCTTGATGAAATATTTATCAAATAAGCATTTCGCTAATATCTTGATTCAGAGGGGAAAATTAACCTACCAGACACATAGTTTAAGTAAGAGTTTAATTGCAGTTGATGACTGAATTATATATGAGGTTTGACTACTAATGCATGTCTTTCTTTCTTTTCCCTTTAGAAGGAGGGGGCAGTGAGTCATGAGTGAGGGAGAGTGAGAGAGATAGTTCATCTAAGAATCTGTGTTTTTTCTCCCTTAATTTTTTTCGGTGACATATATGTGATACTGTTAGGTTAACTGTAACTTAACAAGTGACAACACAAATAATTGGTTTAATTATGTATGGAAAAGTAAAAGATTCAGCTGAATGACTATCTTGGGATTATATTACCCGTCCTAGGTCACTTACAATCAATCTAACCACTTGCAACATTCCACACAATTACACCAGAGAGAGAGAGAGAGAGAGAGCAACTAAAACATCATCTATCAGCTACGAAGCGTCACAGTTAGAGGTTCAATTGGTTTACCACTTGTCTGTTCCTTTCAAGCATGATTTATATATATGACCGAAGACTTGGAAAAATACAATGCGAAGTGGACTTTACAAAGTGTTTCAAATATAAAAAGAGATATGTATTATATAGACACGTGGTGATGCATGTATTGTTATTACTTTGTGATAGCACAAGTAGTTCAAACTATTACAATGTGCATGAACGCCGTTTATGAAGGTTTAGAAGAACATGCACTAATCTATTGCTAGCCACTGATGATGAGTAAGGTCATTGTATTATGCTGTGTTCTTATGTGAAACTGAATTAAATGCGCAATGTAAACGAGGGTTTTCAATTGTTATGTCTCATATAGTGGACCTCGATTGAAATCCTATTAGTTTTTAGATTTTGATTAAAGTTTTTTTACTTTGTACACATCAGCATATTAACATTAATCAATTTCCATGTCAACTATTTTATATTTTAAATTAAACATATATTAAATATTGTAATATAGACATCCTTTAAAGAATTTGTTTTTGTCCAAACTTTTAAAGCAATTAAATAAAATAAGTTACCACATTTATGGGATATAAAATCCCATAAGATTTGAACTTTAACGTTTATGGGCTTAAACAACAAACTCCACCCTTAGAAAAGAATTTTTTATTTTTATTTTTATTGAATGTCATGATAAAAGATAAATGTTTCCATAAGAATGTACCCATGTACAATTACAGTAATTCACAAGAATGTATCCATATACAATTTCAACATTAAAACCCATATGTGACAACAACAAAAAAAACAATGTACCCATATAAATTCTTAATGTAAAAAATGATTAAAGGATAGAAAAATGGAAGCAAACCATAAGACCAAATTACTGAAGGCTACATACTATATAAATGTTATAGGAAAAAGTTATACATATATGGGTACAAAAAAATTTAGAAGAGAAAGTTACAATGGTGGTATAGAATAAAAGTTGGGTACATGGATTAAGGAACAAGAGAAGAGAATGTAGCCAATGAAATTAAAATTGCATTCAGAGCAATATAATGTTCATTTGTTACGATTTTGCAATATGATGGTCATGGAGAAAAAATAAGTTTGAAATTTGTTTAGCGAAATTTAAATTTGAAGATACATATTCAATATAATAATGTTGAATTTGAATATAAGCATAAATTTAAGTGAGAGAATTTTGGGATTTTCAATTACAAACATGATAATGTGGGACAAATTATAAGTTAAAATTTGTTGTAAAAAAAATAAAAAGATGACATGGAAGTATTTTAATAGTAAAATGCTGAGGTGTACAAAGTCAAGAAGTCAAGAGACTTTGATCAAAAACTGAAAACCAATAAAGTTTTAATCTATGAACATTGGTGACTAGGGTCTAGATTCTTAATTTTCCTATATATATATATATATATATATATATATATATATATATATATATATATTATAAAAGGTTTTTATTCTTTCTTGTTAGTAGTTTTCGCTTAACAGAAAAATAAAACCAAAATTTGAAAACTCAAAAAAATATTTTTAAAATTTTCATTTTCAGTTTTTATTTTTTTTTCTCCCCTTTCTCATTTCCTTATTTCTCGTCACAAAACACGGAATAAGGATCATCTTCAGATCCTCTTTATGAGAATTCCGAGAATCTGTGTATCGTGTCCGTTCATCGTACATCGTACGGTCAGAAATCATTTGAAATTTTATATTTAAAATTGAAAACAAATAGTATCTGACGAAAAATGACCGCACGATATACGATGAACGAATACGACTTACGAATCTTCGGGATCCTCACAAAGAGGATCCGGATTCCAAAACATGCATTGTACTCCACTCTCTAAACCTAGTATCTAAGACCTTCCAGCTTGAACCTGATCGCTCAACTGAAGTTGTCAGCTAGGAGAAATTTTTCAATGTACCCGGTACATGGAATGGTACATCATGTGTCATTATACAAATGATGGGATATGTGTGTTAAAAAGTTAACAACTTAAAAAATAAAATTTCCTACCACTTATATAAAAATACATGGTGTACCCCCGTGTTTCGATCACAATGAAAAATCTCTCGTCGGCTAGGGATCGAGCTCGAGATCCTCAAACCTAACTTGGGACTACCAACGTATTATTCATAAAAGTGTCCCTTCCTAACTACAAAAAATTCAATGACTGCTACGGACTACCTGCCTAGCATGGGACTGCCAACGTATTATTCACCTGCCTAGCTTGGGATTGCTAACGTATTATTCAATCCTTGGACTGCCATCATTTATGTTTGATTTTTCTAGTTATATATATATATATATATATATATATATATATATATATATATATATAAATTTATTGAATCAAACAGCTAAAATCTAATATAATCAAATCCAACAGTAAAAAAAAGATCTAATGGTTCAAATTTAAATCCAAAGGCTAAAATAATTTTTTTTTTGTCAAACAATAAATTTTGTTAGATTAGTCACCGACAAGGTTCAAATTCACGCCGTCATGCAAGGTCTTGACTCCTTTCCACCACTGGTAAAGGGTAAAAAAAAATTCTTTCATTTGTTTCATATTATTCTTTCATAGTGTTCCACGAGTTTCATGACATCGGTTTATTAATTTTTCAATATTTTTTTAAATCTAAATATTTTTGGTTTAAAAGGTTCATAAAATTAAATTAGGATAGTCTACATAATTGTTTTTTTTTAAGTTACTTTAAGAAAAAATTATCCTAAATTCATTCTTTGATAATCTCAGGCTAAAAATTTAACCTAAAAAGGTTGGAGTAGAAAAACTGTTTCTGAGTTAAAATCTAAATTTTGTGGGTGAAAAAAATTCCCTAATGGTCTTACATTCTATGACCTCAAATTCAGAATTTGACACCAACAAAATTTTCATTTTTGAAGTCCAAAATAAAATGAAAACTCAAAACTTAAAACAATTACCAAACAACCACTTAGTACTAGGTCTAGTGGTATTCTTCTTCATTGTAAGCGAGGGATCTTAGGTTCGATTCTCGTCAAAGGTGAATTTGAACCACATTCTCATCAAATGTGTAGATAATATCTTTTGTTCTAAATATGTTTCTTGAAACAATTAGCCAAACTTTCTATCCGTTTTCAGTTTTAATTGAAACAATTACCAAATTTGTTTCTTGTTTTCCAATTTTTTTACTTATCAAATGAGCCGTAACACTATCATATTGGTAAAATAATAAATTTACTTATCAATTCATATGATTTTTATTAGTCTATTCCAGTCCATGTTAACACTACACGTATATTTAGCTGGAACATAATAATAATGCAATCATATCCACAGAACTTTTTACATTAATCGCTAACAAGTTAACTTATACACTCCAACAAACATAGTACAAGGAATAGAAAAATACCCTAATGCATCTATCAACTACTGAAATAAAACGTAGGCTGAAAGAGTATAAACCTCTAACAAAACAACACACCAGTGTACTTTGTGCTAGACACTACGACTTTAAGATAATATCAAACCAAGAGAAATCAAATGTTATTTGGTCAAAACTAGTGTTTGACACTACGACTTTAAGATAATATCAAACCCCACACGATACTTATGATTTATCAACACTCGTCTCCCAAAAACTTTAAAAGTTTGAAGAAGAATGCGATCGAAGTGCTAAGAAGAATGAGTTGCTTGTACTAGAAAGAGCCTAGAAGTGAATATAGTCGAAGAAAAGCTATCATAAACTACATATAGAATGGAATGCATACAACCAAAGGGTTTCTAAAGCCTACCCCTATTTATGAAGTGATAAACACTTCAATAAATGAAAGTTTTTAATTTATATGCCATATTCATTTTAATGAGGGTATAGGAGACGAAGTTTCAACATTTTTTTGGCCTCTTAGCGGAGGTATGTTTAACAATCACATGTGTGGAGAGCAAGTTACCAAATACAATTAAGAATCCTTCTATAATTCAAGGAAATTATTAAGAAAAATAGATCAAATGTTCAAACCAATCACACAATTGATTGTTTTATCAGTTACAACATCTAAAGGTAGACTCAAGTAACGTGCAATCACCTGCAAATTTATATGTATCAAGTACATTGGAATATTTTGTGTCTGTACAAATTTGAACTTCAAATTTACAACTCGTTTTATATTCATTCTTCATCAATTGATGTATAAATTTTGATGTGGGTTTGGAGTAGATTAAGGATTTTGATTTTGGTTAGTATTGAAATCGTTATAACTTCTTGTACAAAAAAAAACAAAAAACAAAACTACTTAGAGCATCTCCAAAACGAGAATGTCATTTATAGCCAAAATTTAACTTTTAAATTTAAAAATGCCAGTTTTTATAAAAACTAACAATTATAGCCAAAATCTCACGTAAATTT